CCACGCCCGCCACCCCCCCCCCCCCCCCCCCCCCCGCCTGGCCCCCGCGCCGGCGGGGTGGGGCCCCGGGGAGCGAAAATGACCGCGGATACCCTTTGAGACGTGTCCTCTGCCCCAGGCACACTCAGCTTCCTCTTTCCCCCCTCCCAATCTAGCCGAAACTGGCAACCAGACGGCGGTCTGAGCAAAAACCCCAACCCCAGACTGCCTTCAACCAAGGAGCTGGCTGAAACTCGAAAGGAACCCTGGACGTGAAATCCCGTGGGCAACAAGGGACAGGGGCGGTGCCTGCTTGCAGCCATGGGAGGGGTCTCCCGGACTTTATCTCTGCCTTCGTGTTCAGACTCTCCGCCCCCGGGGGAACTGTTGCATCAGCTTCAAGGTTCCAAATTAAAGTGACCAGGTTGCCCCGAAAGTGACCTGAGTAGTCGCCAGGAGGCAGCACTTAACCAACAATAGAGGCGACAGGGGTGCCGCGAAGGCTGAACTTCCTAGTGCACCGCACCTTTCATCAGACCCAGGCAGAGACAGATGGGGAGTCTGAACCTGGTTAGGTGGCAAACGCTTGTAATTCCGACACTCAGGAGATGGAGCCACGAGGATCAGAAGTTCGAAGCCATCCTCCGCTACATAGCAAGTTTAGGGCCCACCAGTCTCAAAAAGAAAAAGGAAAAGAAAAAGAAAAAGGATGTTGGAGAACCAAAGATACAGCTCATTGAGAGTGCTTGCCTAGTATACATGCGTTCCTAAAAAAAACAACTCGCAGAGGGCTTGATAAAATGTGTGTCTGTTGCCAGGTGGTGCTGCTGCACACCTTTAATCCTAGAACTCCGGAGGCAGAGTGGATCTCTGAGTTCAAGAACTGGTAAGTTCCAGGATAGCCAGGGCTACACAGTGAAACCCAGTCAGAGAAGAGAGAGAAAAAAGTCTCGGCTGAATGACATATGTATATATACCTGTGTGTAGGATTGGGTGGGGGTGTTCAGACATGCAGAGACCAAAGGAGTACCATAGAGAGACAGGGTCTCTCCTTGGACCTGAAGTTCACTATTTTTGCTAGCTGGCCAGCAAGCTCCCAGGACCTGCCTATTTCTGTTCCCCCACACTAAGATAATAGGCTTGTTGTGCCAGTCCTGGTTTTCAGGTGGGTGCTAGAGAGCATTGAAGGGAAAGGATTCAGTTCCACAGCCTACTCTCACAGAATAATCAGTGCAGGATTCACCAGCCAACGTTGTGAGTTCATGTGCCATGATGTCAACATACAGGTCCTGGCATCTAGTCCATCAAAAATGCTGAACCAAACACAAATGTTTCCCAGTTTTTCATCTGCACTTCCTGAGTACCTGAGTGGTTGTATGGCAAGGACACAATGTTTGGGAAGGTGAAAGACCACCAGTGTGAGCATTGCAGAAGCCGTGGGGTGATTTTCAGACCAGGAACAGCAAGGTCAGCAAGAAGCTCTCCATTGTCCACTGTGAACAGCTCTGACCCTTTGGCCTGTGTGCGTCTGAACCAGCAGGCCATTGCTCTGGAGATCACCCTCCAGAGCATCTGCTCACAATAGCCTATGAGCCCTGTGCCCTCACTGCAATTCTTTGGGTTTCATATCCTCCTCCGAGTCTAACCGGATGGCAAAGTTAAATTTCTGATTATGAATAAAAAATAAGTAGCAAAAGGGCATCTAATTTCCCAGAGCAATGTACTTGAGCGAAAGTAACAGTGTCCAGACCCACAGAACAGAGAGATGTTTGGATAACATTGGGTGGGGGTTAGGGGGTTGAGTGCATAACAAAATGCAAAAGCTAAATTTAGAACTTGATGTCCTTGACTTGAAAGGCAAAGGAGTCTAGGAGAGGAAACACAGGAATCTCAAATGCAATTTTCTATAGAGCTTGATTCTACTGTTCTCAGATGAAGTGCAGAGTCAGTGTGACAAGACAGAGCCACTTTCCTGTGGTAGACATGGCTGGATAAGTCATTAGAGAGGACACTGCAGAGCCAGACTCAACTGTCCCATAATGTTCAAACGCCAGTGGACTGGAGAGACGGCTCAGCAGTTAAGAGTGCTCACTGCTCTTACAGAGGACCCAGGTTCAATTCCTAACACCCACAAGGCAGCTCACAACCACCTGGAACTCCAGTTATAGGGAACCTGATGCCCTCTTCTGACCTCCAAGGGCTCCTGAACACGCATGGTATACATACATGCACTCGGGTACACACACATTCATAAAAATAAATAAACATTTTTTTAAATGGTGGCAGCATTTAAATAAATAAATAAAGGTGGCACACACCTTTATTTCCAGGACTTGGGAGGCAGAAGCAGGAGGACTTGGGAGGACAACCAGGGCTGTTACACAGAGAAACTGTCTCAAAAAAAAAAAAATGGTGGCAATGTTAACAGTTTATTTATTTATTGGTTTTTCAAGACAGGTTTCTTGTGTAACCACCTCCTGGCTGCAGTCTATGTATAACCTTTGTTATATCAAACTAACCATGTCAAAAGCTGGACTTTCATTTCTTTCCTAGAGTTTCTCTTTCATATTTTGGAGTTCTGGTCAAACTTCTTATCTGCCCTCTAAATCCTCTAGCTTTTACTCTATTGAATGACTACACATGGCTTTTGTTGTTTTGTTTAACAAGATCTCACTATGCAGTCTTGACTGGTCTGGAACTCACTCTGTAGGCCAGGCTGGCCTTGAACTCACAGAGATCTGCCTGCCTCTGCCTCCCGAGTGCTGGGATCCAAAGCAAGTGTGTCACACCTGGCACATATGCCCATTTTTCCATGTTTTATCCCCAAAAGGCATTTCTTTTTTTTAAAGTTTTATTTATTTATTAAGTATACAACATTCTGCTTCCATGTATATCTGCACACCAGAAGAGGGCACCAGATCTCATCACTGATGGTTGTGAGCCCCCATGTGGTTGCTGGGAATTGAACTCAGGACCTCTGGAAGAGCAGTCAGTGCTCTTAACCTCTGAACCCTCTCTCCAGTTCCCCCCCCCCTGCAAAGGCATTTCTAACACTTTGAATGATTTTGTCAACTGATGGTATCTTCCTTCTGTGTGAGCTACTAAGAGATGGGAGAGCTGCTGGTCCAGTTCCCTTATTACCAAAGGTGATAGTATGAAGTTATCATTTCTTGCTTATTACTGCAGAACATGGGCGCTTACCCTATTCTGCAAGCTTCTGGCTTCTACTTGCTTCCTCAACTGAAAACTATGGGATTCCAGTGATGTCTCTGGATCAAAGGCTTAGTAACACAAATTCAAGAACATTGTCTTTCAGTCTCTATTCTGACACTACTTATAAAAAAAGTAAACCCATGGTCATTTTGTAGGTGTGTGTGCTCAAGTGTTGCTAGAGATCAAACCAGGGCTTCACACAGTCTACCAATGGCTACAATTCTAACAGCCATCTTCATGAATCTCCCAAGTCTTTTGACAACATCAAGAAAAGCTACAAAAGTTGCTCCAGCACTGTCTATCCTCCTTTGTGGATCAGTGAGAAAAACATATGAAGTTATTTATGTAGAAGTTGTTTGAAAGATTTATTTTTAACTATGTGTCTGTGTGTGTCTCTGTGTGGGTGTGTACACTTGAGTGCAGGTGTCCTCAGAGGCCACATGGGTCAGATCCCCTAGAACAAGAGTTGCAAGTGATTCTGAGGTGCCTGATATGGGTTCTGAGATTCAAACTCAGGTACTCAGGTCCTTTGCAAGGGTGGTAGACACGGTTTTGAAAAGTAAGGGTAGGGAGTGGGCTGGAGAAATGATTCAATGGTCAAGAGCACTGGCTGCTCTTCTATATAGACATTGGTTCAGTTCCTAGCATCCTGTCTTTGTTAGGGTTTCTATTGCTGTGAAGGACACCATGACCACAGCAACTCTTCTAAAGGAAAACATTTTAATTGGGGCTGGTTTACAGTTCCAATGTTTAGTCCATTATTATCACAGCAGGCAACATGGCGGCATGCAGGCAGATATGATGCTAGACAGGTAGCTGAGTTCCACATCTGGATCCACACCTACTCCAACAAGGCCACACCTCCTAATAGTGCCACTCTCTGAGCCTTTAGGGGCCATTTTCATTCAAACCACCTCACACCCACAGGATGATTGTCAATGATCTGTCACTAGAGTTCCAAGTGATCCCATGCCTTCTTCTGGCTTCCATGGGCACTAGGCATGCACATGGTACACAGACATACATATAGGCAAAATACCCAAATACATAAAATAAATCTTTTAAAAAAGAAAAGAAAAATAGATGTATGGAGTTAATCAATGAGTAGAGATCACACCTAGCATGGTCAAGACCCTAAACTACAAAAGAAAAAACTTATATGAATGTACACTGAAGCCAAGCCTCTAATCCTGGTTATTTGGGAAACTGAGGCAGGCTTTCTTGAGATTCAGAGTTCAAGGCCAGTTGGAGCAAATTAAGTGAGACTCTGTCTCAAACTTAAAAATAAAATAGTCTGGAGTCAAGTGCAGTGACTCAGGAGGAGGTTCGAGCTAGAATATCATTGCCCAGTTGAAGCCAACCTGGACTACACAACGAACTCTAAGCCAGCCTAGGCTTCAGAGACTCCGTCTCAAAAAACAAAACAAGATTTATGAAGTAGCAGCCGCAGTCCTCTATGTCTGTGGCTTATTTTATTCTAATTTTGTGATAGAGTTTTGTGTTGATTCTTCAGACATGGTTTCAGGAACCATTGTTGGCCTTGAACTCCTTGTCCTACTGGCACCGGCCAAGTGCAATGTCACCTCACCCAGCTCTCCCTTGTCTTATTTTGTTTTGCTTGGGGGCAGAGTGGCCATCTGAGGTGTCTAGATAACTTTCTTTTCTTCCCATTCCCTCTTTTTAGTTCAGTTCAAAGTACAACTGAGAAACATCTCCAGTGTAAAGACCTCCCAGTTCTACAGAAGGAGATGATTGCTGGAAACAGACCATTCCTCCACTCTCTTGTATTCTCTTGTTCTTGTCAGCATGTATTTGTATCTGCAACCCAGTAACGGGCACGTTTGTTGCTTCGCCATAAAGGACTTTGACTTACATCATCACCCTCAAAATGTCAGGAGGACCAAGAGCTCAAGAGTTCTAGATCAGCCTGGGTTACATATCAAGACTCTGTCTCAAAAGGGGAGTGGGAGAGGTTAGGAAGGAAGGAGGGAGGAAAGAGAAAGAAAGAGGGAAAAGAAGGAGAAATGACCCCTTCAAAGGCAGAAATATCATGGTGGTACAAACCTGTAATCCCAGTACTCTGAGGAGCACTGAGGGCAGCCAGGGTTACCTAGCAGGTACTGTGTCATCCACAGCAAGACCCTATCTCAAAGGGGTGGGGGGTGGGCAGGTAAGGCAGAGCTAGCTTTAAAGGTTGAGTTTCCTTTATTTGAAATGCTTGGTATTGTTAGCCTCTAATAGTCTTTTTTGTCCTTTCTTTTTTAAATAAGTGTTTTGCCTGCATGTATACCTGCATGCCAGAAGAGGGCATCAGATCCCATTATAGATGGTTGTGAGCCACCATGTGGTTGCTGGGAATTGAACTCAGGACCAGGGAGAGAGCAACCCATGCTCTTAACCCCTGGACCATCTCAATGACCCGTTTTTTTGTTTTTAATCTGAAGTGAGAAGATCCATTTTTTCTTTCTTTTCCCTTGAGACAGGGTTTCTCTGTAGCTTTGGAGCCTGTCCTGGAACTCACTCTGTAGACCAGGCTGGCCTTGAACTCACAGAGATTCGCCTCCTGAGTGCTGGGATTAAAGGTGTGTGCCACTACCACACATGGCTAGACATCTGGGGATCTTAATCAGTTTTATTTCAACTGCCAGTTAAAGAATTAAAACTCAGGAAAATTTCAGATGCAATAGGTAGCAGCAGAGAAATCGCAAACATAGCAAACAGGAGCAGACAGAATCAGCAACTGAAGGTGGGCTTTTATTGGGGTGAGGAAACACATATATCTGCATTCGAGACACAGGGGAAAGACCCTTTGGAAAGTAGAGTCGGGGATCCAAAAAGCCAAACTCCCAAGTCTTTTCTCCGGGACTATTTTTTGTTTGTTTGTTTTTCAAAGTCTCTGAAGAGTTTCCCTCCCCTAATTTGGGGTTGGTTAGTTTGAAGACAGGATGGATGATTGACCCACAACTATTTTGTAACATGTCCTTATCCAGCCTTGAATTCATGGAGCCAGTCCATCACCAGGAGGCCTACTAACAAGAGAAAGAGCCCATAAGGCCCTTGGTGTAAGCTGCCAGGCTTTTGTCTCAGGCTAGGAAAAGAAGCCTGGAAGTTAAACATGTTTTTAGTTCTTTTGGTTTTTCGAGACCAAGCCCTGACTGTCTGTCCTTGAACTCACACTGTAGACACCAAGCTGGACTCAAACTCACAGAGATCCACCTGCCTCTTCCTCGCTGGTTTTTGACTAAAGTTCTTTCATGACTCCAGGTGTTAAATTTTCCATTGCAGCTTCCTATTTGGATTTAACAAGTTTGATATTTGGAGCACTTCAGAGTTCAGTTTTCAGGTTTGGACCACTCAGAGTGTATTTAGCTGGTGAAAATGTGTCCTGGACACTCTAAAAAGAGGAATCAAGCCGGGTGGTGGTGGAGCACATCTTTAATCCCAGAACTTGGAAGACAGAGGCAGGCGGAGCTCTGTGAGTTCGAGACCAGCCTGGTCTACAGAGCTAGTTCCAGGACAGCCTCCAAAGCCACAGAGAAACCCTGTCTCAAAAAAACCTAAATAAATAAATAGGGGACTCAGAGCCAGGAGGTGGTGGCGCACACCTTTAAAACCAGCACTCAGGAGGCGGTGGCAGGTGGATCTCTGCCTCTACACACAGAGAAACCCCGTCTGGGGGGCGGGGGGGGGCAGTAATCAGAGCTGCCGTCATGTTTCCCAGCATTCAGGAGGCAGAGGCAGGGGGATCTCTCTGAGTCTACACACTGAGTTCCAAGACAGCCATAGTTACCTAGTGAGACTGTCTCAAATAACAAAATAATTTTAGCACCAGTACAACTTCCTCAAAAAAGCGTTTAACAGTGTCCTCTGCATCGTATTCCATAAATGTTCTCACAAATAACATACACTTCCCCTTCCCAGCACTGGGCTGTGTGTAGTCATGTCTGTGATCATTTGTCTTCTCTAGACCCCACGCTCTATCTGATAAACTGTTTTAGCTACCCTTAAAATTTCCCAAACCCACTCGCTCGTCTTCGGTTCTGCTGGATGAGAACCAAACTTTTCTGATTCGTTCTACGCGTGATCATGTCTTGGTCAGAAAACAGACGTTAAAACCATGCAGACTGCTGCACGACGAGGTTCGCAGGATGCTACTCTTCTGAGTTATCCCAAATTTCCAAAGCCTGGAGACTGCCTACGAAAGGTGTTGGGAACGCAGGGAACGAGCCAGCCACCGGCCTCCCGACCGCCTCGGGCGACGCGGGACGCTTGCGCGGGACAATTCCCCCAGCCCGCCGCCGGCCCGCGCTTCCGTACGCTGACCCAAGATGGCGGGGCCCGCGGTCGAAACCACAATCAAGATGTCGGCTTCCGGTTTTCCAGGCAGCGTCGCGCGGGGCCGGCGGGGCCACGCCCACTTCCGGCCCCTTTGCTGCGGCAGGGCGGCGCTGGGGACTCGGCTGTGCAGTGAGTGACGGACTGTGGGGCTGGGGACCCGGGGGCCGCGGGGTGGCCTGTCCTCTAACTCCCTGCTCTTCCAGTAGG